TCATGCGTTGTTTTCTTCTGTCCCTCTTGCCTTCAGTCGGTCCTGTGAGTATCAGATTTTCCAAGCCCTCTTTCCTCATTATGCGCCCTACAAATTTCATCTGTCTCTTCCTAGTGTTAAGTATATGTTTCCTTTTTGTTTCTATATTCTCTAAAACTTCGTCGTTGCTCACATGTTCGGTCCATGGTATTCTCAGCATCCTTTTGTGGAGCAACATTTCTGTTGCTTCAAGTCTCTTTTACTTCATCTTTGTGGAGATTGTCCAGCATTCGCTGCCATTTTGGAGGACAGATATCACGTAATAGTTCAGTACTCTTTTCTTTGTTTCTAACGAAGTTTTCCTCTTACTTAATACTTAACTTAGCTTTTGAAAGCATCTTTCACTATCCCAATGTGTTTTCAAATTTCAGTGTCACACTTTCCATCTTCTGTTGAAACACTTCCCAGATATTTAAATTGTTGTACTTGTTTTTGGTATCTCCAATTTGTAATTTACCTTTTGGACTCATCCTTTTGCTAACAACCATGCATTCTGTCTTCTTGTAGCTGATGTTTTATCCTTTCTTCTATCTTTCCTTCACTACCTTCTGTAGAAGATTTTGTAGCTGTCTTTCAGTGTCTGCTATCAACACTGTGTCATCTGAATATTTTATATTGTTAAGCTTGTGGTCGCCAATAATTAATCCTGGTAGGATTTCTAATTCTCTTAGAATCGCCTTACTGTATACGTTGAACAAGTCCGGTGAGAAAACACATCCTTGTCTTACACTCTCTTTTTGTATATCTGCTGAACTCATTTTCTATACATATGCAGGGTGTTTGCTGCCAGTTTAAATTCTTCATTAATGACAGTACTAGTTCCTTGTAGATTGAGTATCTGAGCGCTTTACGTAGAATTAAAGTGTTGATCGCCGCTACTTCTGTCTTGGACTAAATTATGTTCCTTATCCTATCGTGCGGGACACGTAGCTGTATTCGTATTTTCGGTCAAACAGCGAGAGGAACTTGGCATTCTAACTGGGCAGCAATAGTTTTCCCCATTGCACGACTGGAGTCGTGCGGAACAAGCAATTTTTCTCTTGGTCTATATCGTGAAAATCACCATGTGTTACCTGGGAGAGAAGTTAAATACAAGCTTATAGGCTGAGATAATCTTCATCGTGTCGAGAACTTCTCAATACCATTCACGTGTATTTATATGCAAATGGAGTGATAGCCAGTCTCCTCAATACTTTCCTCTGTATTCCGGCCATTCTCAAAAGTTCTGGTATATGGATGATTTTGAATCATCCATAGATCACCAATTCTTCAAAAACATTTTACATCTAGTGATCCAGCTACGGTAAGCAGGAGTGCCATCATTATATTTTATGGTCTTTTTCCTAAAATAGGTTTTGTGAATTGACAAGTTTTCTAACATTTAGTGGATGTGCGGGAAACAAAAGACTGCTTGATTCTCACTGAAATCAATACCAACTAATCTACCGATAATAAATTACCTTGTTTTCTAAATATTTTTTTTCTTTTTTAGGTTTTTAGATTTCATTAATATCATGAGTTATGATTACCACGGTTCCTGGGAAAACACAACTGCGCATTCCAGCCCACTATTTGCTGGTAGGAATGAAAAGGGCGACGAGAGATATTTGAATACCGTACGTTGACAATATTTACTGATTTGATTAACATCATTTTGCAAGTGTTAGAACATACAAAATTTTAAATATCCTGACTATCGTATATATATATATATATATATATATATATATATATATTCAAATGTAACGAAAACGAAAAGAATATAAATTCAACTGTTCATAGCATTAATTTAAAAGAGGGCTCAATACCAAGAGTACAGCAATATGGGATATATGTATACATATATGTGTGTGTGTGTGTAAAATATATATGTGTAATATATGGAATATATATATGTAGAATATATATATATATATATATATATATATATATATAAAGACAAAAAGAAAACATTCGTCCTCTGTGGAACTTTATCAAGGCAAATTCTCAGAGGAAGAAACGCGTCGGTTAAAATGTTTCCTTTTGACTTTATTCATATTGTCCTTCTACAGATATATTCTATCTGAAATTGTTACATACTTACTCACACACATACACACACACACACACACACACAGACATATTGTTACGAACTTGTAGCATATAGATGAACCACGGGTTCTAAAAAAAAAGGAAAACGTGGTTTCTTTTCTCGGTCTTCACTCAGAAATGGAAGCGACACAAGGGAATCAACGAAGAACAGACACAAGACGATGGATTTCAAAATAAAACATTTATTTATAAATATATATAACGAAATAAAGAAAGAAGGAAAAAAAACATTCATTTAACAAAGGGGTAGGAGATCATTAAAGAATAGAAGGCGCGAGCGAATACATACATATAATTAAACAGATCAAGCCAAGAGAATCAACTTATCTTGCAGTCGGGTTGATATCTTCAAATAAAGTTTTGATTCGCCGAAGCGAGAGTTCTGATGATAAAACAATATCTTGGCCGGCCGACAATGTTCCTGGATTCTTCTTCTTCTTTTCACAAGTGTTCGAGGGTCCCCAGCATCTCATACAGGCGTTTGGTTGGGTCGACCAGTTCCATAGCAGTCCTTTCACCACTAGTCGACAGACTTTGCTGTCTTCCTCATCTCAGTGGGCAGTCTGCCGATTTTTTGCCCAGCGACGTTCAACTGCCGCTGGTCAGAGGGAAACTGAAAAATCCTTTTTTGGTTTTCGCTGTCCCCAAAGACAGTCACGTGGGTTCCCTTCGTCCTTGACCGGGTACGCAGGAGGATAGGGCGCAAATCACGCAGTGCTTGTGTGATGGCCAAAAGTTCAACACATGCTCAGTACGTTCCGATCACGTGAATCGCAGCAGGAGACCCTGATGGTGCCTGGAATTCACTTATGGTCAGCCGCGAAATCTTGGAACCAGGTCATCCTCGCACCGGGTCACTTCGAAGTTCACGGGCCCTTGGCTCGTGGGTGGGAGAGAGGATAAGGAGAGAAAGAATTTGGGAAAAGAAAAGAAGGTGTATGGCTGATCATAGAATATATTCGCTCGCAAGTCGAAAACATTGGATTAAATTTCTATTTTTATTTATTAATTTATTTTTCCTTTTATATCTAACTAATTTTCTCTTTATTTAAGATTTTACTTTAGCCTAACGCCTATATGGTTAATGAAATCGTGGCTACGTGACAATATATATATATATATATATATATATATATATATATATATATATATATATATATATAGTCGAATTTTAACTAAATATTTCTTATTTTAAATCTTTTCTATTTCTTTTAGGCGTGGTCAGCTATTTACTGGGTTAAAAGGGAGCCCCACAGAGAAAAATAAATGTTGGGATCCCATTTTACGGTCGTTCCTTTACGCTGCTTGATACAAAGAATACTGGGGTTGGTGCCATGGCCCTGCTTCCCGGACATAAAGGGCCGGTTACTCGAGCTGACGGTTTTCTTGCTTACTTTGAGGTGAGATGTCAACATTTCTATTGATTCCCCTTTGATAATTGTTAAAAAATTACATCAAATCTACGAAAGAAATCCTGTTATTCGTATATAAAAATACATACAGAAATGAATGTTTATATTCAATATATATATATACATATACGTGTGTCTGAGCATGCGCGTGTGCATGTCTGTTGGTATATATAAAAAGGAGAGTCAAAAAATTAAAGACAGATGAACACTGGATGGTTACGCTCTTCCCCATTTGTAGAAATGAACTCGAATGACGAATGTGCAACGTAATAGTAAAGAGGTAGTGTAGCTACTGCAGCCATATTACGTGGACAGAATTTAACAACACCTAAATCATTCTTCTGGTGACCCTGTAATTATGGAGTTTGTGTTCTCTGGGAGTTCACAACAACCATCCATGACATCAGGAGGCAGGGAACCACGTAACTTCTTGCAGGAGCATTCAGTTGGCTTACAGACATTCCATTGATCTCCGCTCTGACCAGATTTGAATCCTATTCGTCATATGCGCGATATGTTGCCAATCTTCCTAACAAAGACAACACTATGGACAACACTACTACATGACAGAATAAATATAGCCATACAAGCACTCCAGTATTTCACAGACTCTATACTATGTTAGGGAGGCACGATGGAATGATGGATAGCGGCTCGGATTGAAGAATCAGAGAAACCGAGTTCGAATTCCAGTTGGATCCATTACAATGCTAATACCTTTGGGAAAGGTATGAGTCACCTTCTTCTTCCCGCCACCAGCTATGGGCAAATAGCAAGGCAGACTGGGTTCTATAACCTTGGGTAGCAACTGGTCTAGGTGAAGGAAAAACTTTGAATTCAAACCGGTCGTCAGGCTATCTTACCCAAGAAACACCACTTCTACTGTGGCTACAAGTACACATGGTTTAGCTTGTATATATTGATAAAATTCAAAGAAGAATCAGCAATATTATTGGTCCTGATCTAGCGGCTCTCGCTTCAGTCATTTTCCCACCGTCGTAAGGTTGCCTCTCTGTGTCTTTTCTATAAATACTTTCATGGTAATTGTTCGGATGAGCTCTTCGCTGTGGTACCTAGACTTTTTGAATTTAAACACAGTACTCGACTGGCTCCTAGATCTCAACAGTTTCTTTTCTCGCATCTTCCAGCCAATTTTAATCTGCAAAAATTTAAATGCAATGTCATTTGCTATCTACAGTCTCCTCATTAAACTTTTCTCTTTCTGTGAATATTTCTTAATTCTTCCAAACCCCTAGTGTTTTACTGCCTTGCATGGGATGGTAGCCATTAAATAAAGAAAGAAAATATCTTTAATAGCTTTGCATTCATGAAAAAAAAGAAAAAGATTTCAAATGTTTTGCTAATTGCTATGAAAATCATTGCTGTATTTAGATAATAACAACCGTCCATTGAATATTGGAAATCATTCTTATCTCTTGTTTCAAGTCCTGTCAAATTTTAAGGAACGGGAGTAAAAGCTTCTTCCTCGAAGAACAGAAAGTCTCTTACCTCGTTCAAAACGACCAATGGATCAGCTACGAAGACCAACATAGTATTATCACGAAGGTGAAGTGGATCATTAGAAACCACTTCACTGGTGTAATGATTTGGACGATCGATATGGATGATTATAAAGGGAAATGTGGTGGTGTCAAGTACCCGTTGATGAAGGCCATCAATCGAGTTCTCCAGCAGCTAAAGTAAGTATAAGTATATTCACTTTATTCGCGATATTTACGTTTCTATTTATATTGTTCAATAATAATTTGTCCGTTTCAAACCTAAGTAGATATGCATAGCCGTGTTCGAGCCGAGGTAAAAGTTAGCATTTCCATTTTTCAATGCACACTCTTGTCACTTAAAGCATGCGGTCTTCTTGCCTTACCTTTCTAATCCATTGTTTAGCATTGCTCGGTAGCGAATTAAGTTCTACTTAGTAACTAATAATACCTGTCCCATAATAGTTGTTACATCTAATATATATGTGTATACAGCTATAACGACTCTTCTGGAACAGAGATAGTAATATTAAGATTTAAGTCTGCCACAAGACTAAATAAAAGGAAAAATTGGACTAATCATCCAAATAGGTAGGACTTGTTTGCATTAAAAACCAGCAAAAGAAATCTTGGGTTTTACCTGGGATCGAACACTGATTACTGGCACCAATGAAAAATATACTTATTTCAGCCAGGAAGTAGCTAAGTTTCTGTTTGTCGCTATCATCTTCAATCGTATCTTGTACCGCTGTTATTCTTTCCTTTCTGCTCTTTTTGTAAATGTTCTTTTCTTAATCTTGGAACATATCTTTTCGCAGCCCACCGACACAACCGGAAATAATTCAGACGACTGTATCAGGTATTTGCCTTCTTACATGCATTATCTCAATTTCTCTTTGTGGGTGGGTGTTCGTAATAGAAAAAAAAATGAAACATTGAAGTGAGATTATTGCTAGAGCAATATCGTTAGATGTTAGGCTGCAGCTATATAAACAAATCTATGCATGATTTTATCTTCCAGCCACGAGCGTAGCCCTCCACCACATAACAGTTAGTGTTCTAACTTGAAAAATAAGGCAATTTCTAGTCCAATTTTCGACTTAGCGTAGAGTCTTCCATAACGCTCAATACGATAATACTGTTCCAATTTTTGTATATGTTTGTTGTGAAAATAGAAAAAATCATATCAACATTGAAAAAGAAAAAAAAATGAAGGTTAGAATTGCTGTATAAAATCAGGATAGCCGTTATATCATGCCTGTATTTTTTTTTTTGGGGGGGGACGAAAATAAAACAGGTAAACATAAACAAGATAAACATAGCATTATTGCATGGATATTGTTATTTCATGCATAATGTTTCTTTCTTTTCTTCTATCATGGACATTTCCACAATTTATTACAATAGAAAATTAAACTGCAACCATATTAAAAAATCACTTAACGCCTGGCTTCCGTTGATCAGGAATTAGTAGAAGTACAAAGTAACATTAAATTTGAAATATAGTTGGAGTTTGTCTAATTACAGAGTAGTTCCTTTAGTTGTTTGCAAATAAGTATAATATAAATTCTGTAAATAGTAACTGACTTGACATCGAATTTAAGTAAATAATAATTATTATAATTATAATAATCAAATCGTTGCTATTATAGAAGGGAATATAAATTGGGTATAGAACACGAAGTGATCCATGTCTTTTTATTTAAAAGATACCATTTGATCCATTGAACAATTCACATGCACTTGATGAAAATAAATTTATCTTCCTTCATTTTCTGTTATCATTCCGGCTAATTTTCTATGGATTAAGTTCCAAAAATTAACTAGAATTCTCAGTTTTCGCAGTTTTACTACACAAATTTGCTATGCGAACTTTCAAACTATATAAAAGAGTGTCAAAATATTTTTTCCTTTGGGTTTGTGTATAACACCAACAGAAGAAACATTGTCCCTGAGTTCACAAGATTATTCTTTGCAAAAAAATTTAACCATCGAATACTTTTAAAAATTCTTAACATGTTTAATGCTATGACATTTTATCGATTAGCATTTCAACATATAGACGTATATAAACACAGTTCCTCTTAAAGAATTTATCTTCAAAAGTTTATTATGATTTTAATGTTCATGAAGTACCACACAAATGTCGTCTCATAACATTATTCATTGATTACATTAAAGAGGTTCAAATTTATCTTGGGACGTTATTGTCATATGTCAAATTCTTGCATTTTATCTTTATGTAGTCGACAACACATTACATTTTCTAGTAATTAATCTATAGTTCCAGTTGACTTTGAAACGTTTAGCTGCCTTATAACAGCTTTAATAGTTTTATGACTGAAAAAATGTTTTATTGTGATAACCTAAATTACCTTTTAAATTATTAAAATAAACACTTTTATTATTATAGAATATGATATGAACGTTTTAGATTACACTACAATAATCAAAATTACATAGATTAACATAATCGAAATTATACTTGCAGTTTTTGTATTAATATAATCAAGACGACCTTTTTGTATTTCTATCAATATAATAAAATAAAATTTCATAATAAGAGAAAGAATTGGTTATCATTGACAAAATCATTTTTCTGTCATTATAAAACGAAATAAAAATTATATTGTCGGAGTTAACTCCTCCTTCAGTCCGTTAACCCTTTCACAAGGGGTCTCTCTTCCCTGGCTATAAATAGCCTCTGACCCTTCGCCTCTATCTCTTTTTCCTTCAGGATTTCAGCTATCAACCTTGAAATGTAGGCGCTAACAAAGGAATAGCGTGGAAACACGCTAAGCACAATACACACACACGCTAAGCACAATACACACACACGCACGCACATACAGAATATTCACACACGCACGCACATACAGAATATTCATACACACTTCGTCCTTTGTACCGTTTCCATGTATTGTAACTTGTTATTAATATATATTTGTATATACATATATTATCGGTCTTGTGTTTTGTTTGCTTTCTTTGCCTTCTTCTTTGGACTTAATCAAAGTCCAACCTTTTTATGTAGTTGGGCCTGGCGGGCAGGAGTATCTGAACCTTACATGCGTTTCTTCTACGTCTGACTTCTATCAACAACATAACAGCCACGGCCCCTCTACAATATCAACATCGAAATAATCATTTATTACATTAGGATAACATTTAAATTAAACTTAGAAATTTATCATCATCATCAAAAAAAAACCTTCTATATATTATAAATTTAATTACAATCTAAATAAATTTTCATTGTTGCTATAAAAACGCTAATTTACTTTTTTTTTTATTTTTAATTTAATTTTTTACAGCGGGGACTTAAAAGTTTTCAGCTTAACCAAGAGGCCCTTAAAATTCTAATTGTCAGATTTGGGGAAATGGGTCGGGTTCAGAACATTTCAGGACCCCTATCGATATTTATTACCAAAATAACCATTTGTATTTTGAATTATTTTTCAGTAAACACTGAAACGTCTTCGAATTTCAACAACGAATTCTGCAAATATCTCCCGTTTGGTGTCTACACAAGTCCAGTGTCTTGCTTTCATTTCACTCTTTGCATGAGCGGCTATACTTTTTTGAACCGTTGTCCGCAAAATATGGAATGGAACACTTCAGTAAAACGCTGTGTGTTAACTGGAGCTGGTGATTGCCAATGAATTCTTCTATGAGGGCGTTCATAAGATCAGTCTTGAGACAAATTAAGGAAAACCAATTGAAACGCAAAACAAAGTTTAATAATTACTATGAATATATCGAAATAACTGACTAATAATAAAAATACTATAAGAATATTATTTTGTTATCCTTACCATTTTCTTTCCATAGAGCTTTCACTCTAGTCCTGCTCGGTGACTATTGCTAAAGATCAAATAACACTGTCTTTTTTGTATTCTCGCTGATTTTAGTGGCTGTTTGACAAATGAACGAGGAGACAAGCTTGTAAATAGAACAGCTTAGGACATTGAGACAAAAGCTTGGGACATTTTAGCTTATAAACAAAATAGCATACGCCAATTCGAATAACTCCTGAGGTCTAACACAGATAAGTCGACATGAAAACAGCATTATTTGTAACCAGATCTTTTAAAAATTTTACACAACTTTAATCAACTACTCGTGTAAACTGACATATTAAAGACAATGTAAAGAATTTGGAATATAAAGTTTAGATTTTAATGTTTTCTTATGTACGATTATAAATAAGCATTTAAACTTTTCACAAAATAAAAATATTATTTTCAGGCCACGTCATTTTCGGTATTTCCACTTTCGACATTTTCACTGCTTGATACTTTAAAAATTAGGAGGTCAATTAAAATATGTGACAATGGTCTTGACCTGACGGTTTCTTTGTTCGATACTTTAAAAAAAAAACAAAGTACCGCCCGAAGATTCCGTCAGGTCGAAACCATGGTCGCGTATTTTAAGTGACTTCCTAATTTCTAATTTTTAAAGTTAAAGTTCTGAATGTCATTTTTATTTTTACTTATATTTTTTCTCATGTGTATTGAGCACTTTTTAATATTATTGTTTCCTGGTCTGATTCAACTCTGACCATTAACATATATACATATATATATATATATATATATATATATATATATATATACACAAGAACAATAGTAAGTATAATGTAGAAACTCTCAATTTCTTTTGCTCATTTGTTGCCGCTTTTTTGTCTCTTGCTATTTTGTCGCCCCATCGATTTTAGCCATGCAATCCTCTGGATAGTTGCAATTATCTATTGGATTTCCAGTTCTTTCAGTTTGTTTTTAGGGTGCTTCAATAATAATGGGTGCTGGTACAACTACTACTACTACTGCAGTAATAACATTCTTTGCAAACGAGTGTCGGGAAAATCGGAGAGAATGTTACAAAATGAGATTCAACGGCAAACAATGTTTGAAAAATATTAAAATTCGTTGTAGAGAGAGAGCAAAAGAATAATAAACCAGAATAAATAATGGAAAGTTTTTTGTGCATTCCTTATTCTGTTTCCTGTATAAAACTCAATCTGTTTGCATAACATTTAGAATCAAGGACGGGAAGATACAGATGAGAAGATACATAAAGAGGATAAAAGACCAGTGGTATGAGATAAGGAATGATATAAGTTAATACTCGTGAACGTTCAATATATATATAGCGAGAGAGAGAAAAGTGTGTGTGTGAGAGAGAGAAAGAGTGTGA